CTGCTATCATTTTATTGCTTAAATTAAATTCTTAAATTATCTTTGATTTTTCTATATCCTATGACATTCATATCTATTAGAAGTCTAATACATCTGCCTGCAAATTCATATCCAGAATGCAATTATTCTCGTCACCTCCATTGTTGCCACTCTGATTCTAGTCATCATCATCTCTCACCTGTGTTACTGCCATAGCTTCCCAGGATTCGTCCTTCTGCTCTTCTGTTCCTCTTGTGAAGTACACGCATAATCCGCTTTACACTTGAAGTTGCATCATGTACTTTTGCTCAAACCGTATGGCTCCCCTCTCTATACTCAGAGCAGTAACCAGAGTCCATACAATGGCTCACCTGGCCCTGCAGGATCTGGCCCTTATGACCTCACCTCACCTCTACCATTATAGTCCTGTTCACTCCACTACAGCCACACAGGCCCCAGTGCTCTTTCCTCAAACATAAAAAGACTTTACACAACCCATAGAGCTCTGTTTGTTTCTGCTTCAGAATGCCTGCTGGTGTGACTAATTCCTTTACCTCCTTCAAGCTGTTTAATCATCACCTTGTTACACAGGCCTGTGCAACTCCTGTTTAAGAATCTTCTATTACCCTTACATCTATTCCCTCTCTTTCTGCAAACCATTTATCACCTTTTTCACTCCACAAATGTATTTTTGCTTTTATTGAGGTAAAATATACATATATAAATTAATATCCTACTATGTTTTACCATATTTTCATGTATACCTGTTGGCCATTTGTATATCTTCTGTTGAGAAATGTCTATCTAATTTTTTTACTCATTTTAAAATCAACAGATTATTTGTTTTTGTTTTTGTTCGCATGGAGTTGTTTGAGTTCTTTATATTAATATATTTCTTGGTTGTTAATTCCTCATCAGACGTATATTTTCAACATTTTCCCACTCTGGGCTATATCTTCACTTTGTTGATTATTTCCTTTGCTGTGCCCAAGCTTATTGATAATCCTAATTGTCTATTTTTGCTTTAAGGCCTGTGCTTTTGCGGTCTTACCCAAGAAACCTTTGCCAAGACCAATGTCCTGAAGTGTTTCCTATGTCGTTTTCTTCTCTCAGGTAGTCATATAGCTTCAGGTCTATATTTGTCTGTAAACCATAGGTCTAGCAGGAGTGCACTTGCTTTTATTGTCTATCTCCCTCTGCTAGAAAGTCAGCTCCATGTGATTTTTGTCTGTTTAGTTCACAGATGTACCTCAAGGGTCCAGGATGGTGCCTGCACCATGGAAGGGGCCCAAAATTTTGATGACTGTGTGATTATAGCCTAATTTAATAATGGAGGGGATAACATAAAAGCAGTAGGAAGGAAATGTGTGAGAAACAATTTAGTGAATAATTGACAGAATGCGGGATTCAAAGACAAAGGGGAAGAAGAGAGCCAAGATGACATATTTCAAGTATGGATAATGCTGGAGAAAAAAAATTAAGATATAAATCTTTGTAGATGTGAGGAATGAAGAAGCAAGTTAGAGTTTATCTTCTGTACAAAATAAGTGGAAGGTCTAGACTTGAAACTTATAGAAAATCTACGAAGTACAAAGTAAAATGGAGCCAGTAAAATAAATAAAAAGATAGAATAAACACCTAGAAGAGCGAAGGTAAAATAAATAATCGGGTGAAGTTGACTGAGCCAATATTTCAGAGGATAAAATTATGAACCAAGTTATTGTGAGCCTAACACATACATACATACATACATCTATATATAAGTGAGAGTATATTATCACATTAAATTCACAAAAGTTGAGTCAGAAAATTACTTTGCTCTTTCTGTACATATGCCAGGCTTCCTCCTCCATAGATCCTTATCTCTAGCTGCTTCCTCTGCCTAGAATATACTTATCTAAGTAATTCTTTGGGCAATTGTCTTGAGAAAGATGATCAGGCAGTTTACTGCTTGATAAATGAGTACAATGCAGTGCCACTAGTTTCCTTTAGATTTATATCTTCACCCCCAAATGAGTAGTCACACTGCTTGGAAATCCTACTGCATTTCTCTTGTAAATGAACCTTCCCTCTTTTCTTTTCTTTTTTTTTTGAGATGAGTCTTGCTTCACTGTCAGGCTGGATCGCAGTGGCCTGATCTCGGCTCACTGCAACCTCCGACTCCCTGGTTCAAGTGATTCTCCTGCCTCAGCCTCCAGAGTATCTGGGATCACAGGCACGTACCACCACATCCAGCTAATTTTGTATTTTTAGTAGAAATAGTGCTCACCATGGCCAATAAGGCCCAGTTCCAACTGCTGAACTCAGGTGATCTGCCCGCCTCGGTCTCCCAAAGTGCTGGGTTTACATGTGTGAACCACCACACCCAGCCTGCTTGTTTCTTTTCTCATTGCTTGCAAACACCATTTCATTCTCTAAAACAAACCTGAAAGCCCTCCCTTAACCTTGGTACATTGCCCTCTAATGCTATTTATTTCTCTGCTTTTCTTTGAGTTAAACCTCTTTTTTTTTTTTTTTTTTTTTTTTTTTTTTTTTTTTGAGACGGAGTCTCGCTCTGTCACCCAGGCTGGAGTGCAGTGGCCGGATCTCAGCTCACTGCAAGCTCCGCTTCCCAGGTTTACGCCATTCTCCTGCCTCAGCCTCCCGAGTAGCTGGGACTACAGGCGCCCGCAACCTCGCCTGGCTAGTTTTTTGTATTTTTTAGTAGAGACGGGGTTTCACCATGTTAGCCAGGATGGTCTTGATCTCCTGACCTCGTGATCCGCCCGTCTCGGCCTCCCAAAGTGCTGGGATTACAGGCTTGAGCCACCGCGCCGGCCTGTAGCTAAACTTCTTAAGAGTTTCATTTACAGATCCTGCATTCACTTCTCTCTCATTCACATTTTGACCAACTGCAATTTAGTTTCTTTTCTCATACCACTCGGAGGCTGCTCTCCTCAGTATGAAGTGACCTTCATACTGCTAAAAGCATGGACACTTTCCTGCCTTCGTCTTTTTTTTTTAACCTCTCAGCTGTATTTGACCACAAAATGACCACTCTGTTCTTTAAGAAACAGTCTCCTCTCCTGCTTAATGTAGTCGCATCAGATACAACTTTCCCTATAACCTTTATGCATTTTCTGTTTTCATGCATATCAGCCCAACCTGCAACTGTCAGTGTCTCCCAGTCTTTCAACAACTGCTTGTGAAATACCCCTGTATATGGCAATCCAGAAATGCCAGAAAATTATCAACTGTCTCCGGGATCATCTATTAACTATGGGGGAAGCTGGATAAATAGTCCAGGTCCTTTGAGCCTCATGTAGAATAACTTCGGGGCTTGGTAATATTTTTTTTTTTTCCTGTGGTAATTCCCTTATTTGCAGTTCAAGGCTATTATGGGAAGAAAACAAATGATTTTAGTTCTTCAAGGTTTTTACTGTAACTATGCACCGTTTCATTCTTCGAGGTTTTTCTGTAACACTGCACCATTGGGACCTGATGCCCAATTAAACATTTTTTTAAGTTGTTTGGTCTTTTTTTAAAAATAAAAACTAAATGCTATTTTTGCTTTTACTTTTAGTTGACATGTAATAATTGTTCATATTTAGAAGATGCAGAGTGATATTTTGATATATGTGTACAATGTGTACTGATCAAATCAAGGTAATTAGCATATCTATCACCTCAAACATTTGTCATTTTTTTATTTGGGAATATTCAGAATCCTCTCTTCTAGCTATTTGAAAATATACAATAAATGATTGTTAACTACCGTCACCCTACAGTGCTACAGAACAGCAGACCCCTTTTGGCACCAGGGACCAGTTTCATGGAAGGTAGTTTTTCCAATGGGGTGAAGATGGTGGTGGGGATGGTTTCAGGATAAAACTGTTCCACCTCAGGTCATCAGGCATTAGTTAGAGTCTCACAAGGAACACACATCCTAGATCCCTCACATGCACACAGTTCACAATAGGGTTCATGCTGTTATGAGAATCTAATGCCTTGGCTGACCTGACAAGAGGTGGAGCTCAGGCGGTGATGCTGACATATCTGCTGTTCACCTTTTGCTGTGCGGCCTGGTTCCTAACAGGCCATGGAGCAGTACCCATTGGCTGCCTGGGGGTTGGGGACCCCTGCTATAGGACACTGGAACCTTTTCCTCCTATCTAGGTGTAATTTTCTATCTGTTAACCAACCTCTCTCTATCCTCAATTCCCTTCCCAGCCTCTAGTAATCACTATTCTACAGTCTACTTCTATGAACTCAACTTTTTTAGCTCCTAATTATGAATGAGAACACGTGGTATTTATTTTTTTGTGTCTATTTCACTTAACAGAATGTAACATGTCTCCCAGGCTCATCCATGAGTCTGAGGCTTATTTGTAGCCTGGCTGCTGGGCTTCCCTGTGGGATTGTCCTCTGAGAAAACAGAACACAGCCATGCTGCTGGCCAGCAGTTGATAGATGATCTCATGATAATAACAGGTTATAACTCACCTTTTATTGGATTTCTTGCTTTCCTGATTTCTACATTTCTCCACTGATTTTTTTGAGGGAGGAATTTTCTCTCAACTAAACTATTATACTCAAATCTTTGCTGGAGCTCTGCTTTGCTGGGGGTCTGCTTTAAGACTCTAGTGTCTTATTCTCCCGTTCTGATCTGACTTATCTTATTGGTCCTTTTAAGTCGTTTCCTCTTATCTGATCTCTTATCTTATCTGATCTCTTAATATTGAAACTCACTAGAATTTAATTCTATTCCTCTTTTTCTCTCATATTATTTCAACCCACCATGGTTTATCAATTTCTGTACTTTAAATGCTATCCGTAAGCATCACATTTATTGATTTGCATATGTCGAACCAACCTTGCTTCCCAAGGATAAAGGCTACTTGATTGTAGTGGGTAAGCTTTTTGATGTGCTGCTGGATTCAGTTTGCTACTATTTTGTTCAGGATTTTTGCACTGATGTTCATCAAGGATACTGGCCTGAAATTTTTTTCTTGTGTCTCTGCTAGATTTTGGTCTCAGGATGATGCTGGCCTCATAGAATAAGTTAAGGTGGAGTCCTGCCTTCTCAATTTTGGGAGAATAGTTTCAGTAGGAATGATACCAGCTCTTCTTTGTATATCTGGTAGAATTCAGCTGTGAATCCGTCTGGTCCTGGGCTTTCATTTTCATCCTTTCTATCCAGGTTTCGTATCAGTCTAAATATGCTCTCTCTCTCTCTCTGTCCCTGTCTCTCTTTTTCTACCTTCCTCCTTTTCTCCACATAACTTCTTTAATGGCACATGGCACAATTTTAATATACACTTTTTGTTGTCCTGTTTGTCTCCTTCAATGGCTTTTTGTATTTGACATAATATTAGTCTAGATGTCAGTCAGTATAAACTTTTGAATGAATGAAAAGTTGTTATGTTGATGCCAGAGTTAAAAATTTGACCTATATTTTATTCTCTACAGGTAGCTTTGAACCCCAAAAATGTTGGAAGAATAATATAGGATATTGCAGAAGACGATGTTTAGATACTGAAAGGTACATACTTCTTTGTAGGAACAAGCTATCATGCTGCATTTCTATAATAATATCATATGAATACACTCGACGACCACCATTTCGTGTGATTCACCTAGAGGATATAACATTTGATTATAGTGATATGGGCTCTTTTACTGGTTCCCCAGTATCTAAGTTGAGTGATCTGGTAACATTTGACACACGTGGAGAAACCATGACCCCCAAGACCAATACTCCCGAGACTTCTATGCCACCATCCGAGACCATTACTTCCAAGACTACTATGCCATCATCCGAGACCACTACTTCCAAGACTACTATGCCACCACCTTCTCAGATGGCTCTTACTCATAATTAATTAACATTTACTTCTGGTATGGAACAACTAGAAATACTGCTGGAAATAATAGCCAAAGAGCTGATTCTACCAATCCAATTTCACCCGGAAAATTCCATCAGGGATTGGATGAGCATGGGGATGGACATAATTGCTACTACTAAGACAACAGCCGAGATAGTTGCCTTGCAATTAGAAACATGTAGACAGAAACGTATAGAAGATACAAGGATTCTCTTAATTGGACTTTAAGTCTTTATCTGTCTTCCTCTGATGTACTAAAATATGTGAGCTAATTTTTGTCTTAAGTGAACATTTGTATGTCTATGTATTTTTCCATGCCAAAAACAAAAACGAAGACCATTGTTTGGAGCTGCCTATTATGTCTAAGACAAGAATTTTTACTTTAACAGTGCCTGGCCCACTGCTATCATATATAGGAGAACATATGAAAGCATATAGAAAGACGGTTCCAGACAAATGTTCCCTTCTCTACCCTCCACCTTTTATTGTAAGAACTTACAATACTTCTGTGTGTCATGACGTCAAATTTTGTTTAAGGTTCTAGCTGGTAACTAACAGTTAGTTAGAAGCTAATTCTTTCATTCAGCACAAGCACTGATCTCACTGGATAAAGATAAAAGTGGGACTTGCCTTGAGAGTACATCATATTAAATTAAAAGCTGCATCTCAAATTCTACTTATCTTTCCAATCTTCTTTCCACTTAGAAGTCCAACTTCCATCTATGGCAGCCTCATAACATGCCTCCTCAGGTCTCTGTTTTGTCCATGAATGTTAGTTGTGTGCAGTGTTTCTATGCTTTGTATGGCTGTACGCATGTGACTGCTGTTTGTATGGCAACAGATGGGTCAGTGAGTGTTTTCTGATACTACAGAGAAGCGGTTATAACTATAAAGTTGATTAGGTTTTTTTTTTTTTTTTTTTTTTTTTTTGAGACACAGTCTTGCTCTGTCGCCCAAGCTGGAGTGCAGTGGCACGATCTCAGTTCACTGCAAGCTCTGCCTCCTGGGTTCACGTCATTCTCCTGCCTTAGTCTCCTGAGTAACTGGGACTACAGGCACCTGCCACCACGCCTGGCTAATTTTTTGTTATTTTTAGTAGAGATGGGTTTTCATCATGTTAGCCAGGATGGTCTCGATCTCCTGACCTCGTGATCCACCTGCCTTGGCCTCCCAAAATGCTGGGATTAGAGGCATGAGATACTGTGCCCAGCTGACTATTATTATTATTTTTTAACTTTAAGTTCTGGGATAGAAGTGCAGAACATGTAGGTTTGTTACATAGGTATATATGTGCCATGGTGGTTTGCTGCACCCATCAACCCATCATCTAGGTTTTAAGTCCCACATGCATTAGCTATTTGTCTTAATGTTCTGCCTACCCTTCCCCACACACCCTGACTGGCCCCCATGTGTCATATTCCCCTCCATGTGTTCTCATTCTTCAGTTCCCACTTATGAGCAAGAACACTGGTGTTTGGTTTTCTGTTCCTGTGTTAGTTTGCTGAAGATGATGGCTTCGAGCTTCATCCATGTCCCTGCAAAGAGCATGATCTCATTCCTTTTTATGACTGCATAGTATTCCATGGTGTATATGTATCACATTTTTTAAATCCAGTCTATCATTGATGGGCATTTGGGTTGGTTCCATGTCTTTGCTATTGCAAATAGTGCTGCCTTCAGTTCCCACTTATGAGCAAGAACACTGGTGTTTGGTTTTCTGTTCCTGTGTTAGTTTGCTGAAGATGATGGCTTCGAGCTTCATCCATGTCCCTGCAAAGAGCATGATCTCATTCCCTTTATGACTGCATAGGCCCATGGTGTATATGTACTGGCATTTTTTAAATCCAGTCTATCATTACGGCATTTGGGTTGGTTCCCATGTCTTTGCTATTGCAAATAGTAAAGGTAAATATGTGTGCATGTGTCTTTATAATAGAAGAGGAAAGAATGGATACCAAAGAGGAATGAGAAGCATTATGTTGATTATGGTAACGGTTTCACCAGTGCATCTTTTGCCAAGTTAATCAAATTATACACTCTAAATAATGCAGTTTAATCAATTATATGTCAGTAATTTGAAATGAAAAAAGATAAAAACTCCTCTCAAAGAACAAAACCTCTAGGACCTTATAGCTTTCAGTCACAATATAGTCAGGCACTCAAAAAAAAAAACTTTAACAGAAATAAAATTCTCTTTGGTTGCCACCTTAAACTCAATCCCATCCAGAGAAAACAACTTTTATTAGAATGACATGTGATTTGCATTTTTAGTTCATGCATTTACTTATATTCACATACATACAACTTTTTCACATAAATTGGAATCATTACTATGCATGTTGCTCTAAAATGTTGCTTGTTTACTCAAAACATGTTTAATAAGATAAAATCTGCTGCACTCTTTTTAACAGAAGCACAGAATTAAATCATATGGATGCACTTCATTTTATGCTACTCTACAGAGTGACAAGACTTCTTTGTGCGTATATCTTTGAGCAGTTATTTATTTCTTTATAAAAGCCTTTTTAAATTTCCAGATCATCAACAAAGCATTAATTTGATCAGTTAAAAAACAATTGCTTCTATCCTTCTCTGAAAAGAATAATATACAGAAACGAATTACATATATATATATAAAAATAATATGTCATAAGTGATCAGAAAGACATTGTATTTTAGGTGGAGAGACAGAGAGGTGACCAGACTGCTACATGCAGTAAGATGAACCCTGATAGAACTAACACTGGAGGCTGTGAAAAAACAGCTAGGAGTACCCAGCCTTGGTAGAGCAGCATGATTTCTTCCTGTAATTCTTTCTCTCCAAATTGCCATACACTTCAGCAGAGTTTGCAACTTCTCTTCTAAGTCTTTATCCTTCTCCCAAGGCATGCCTAGCACAGGACTCTTGAACAGTGATGCCTCATTAGAGTTGCTGGCCAATAGATTGAAGCTGTGTTGCCACAATATCCTACATCCTCCCAATCTACTGGCTGAGCCCAACCCCACTTAAGAAAGACAATAAAGATCTGTGTTCAGAGTCATACTGAATAGAGACTTCTGGACTCTATAGAACCCACTGCCTCCTGATGAAGTCCCTACTGTTCACCCTTGCAGTTTTTATGCTCCTGGCCCAATTGGTCTCAGGTAAACAGAATCTTGGGGAAGAAGAAACACTAGCCTAGAACAGGGTCCTGCACATGGAGTCCTTATTTCTAAGTGGTCTGTGGAAATGGGGTCTGGCTTCTCACTGGGAGCCGGGCTGAGATTTGTCCTACTTCTTCAGACCACCGCTGTTCTAAGAAACTTGAAGGCTCTCAGGGTAGAGCAGGATCTATGATCGGAGCTGGGGAGTAGGGTAAGGCAAATCCCATAAAGTTGCCTCCAAAGGTAGAAATCATCTTGAAATCCCAAACTTCTATCCTGTCACTTCAGGTCAGTTCAGTCAAGCTCTGCCTCATTTCACCCTTTTTTTTTTTTTTTTTTTTTTTTTTTTTTTGTGGTCGATATTCCCTCCTGAGGTAACAATTACATAATATTACTTCCCCCAGTGTTCTTGGTCTTACAGAGAAGGTCCCTGATTTTTTGTTTGTTTGTTTGTTCTTGCACGTTGTTAACAGAACAGGGAAGGCTGTTTCTATATATGCATAGGACTGTAAAATGGAAAAGGAAAAAAAAACTCTGTGTGGAAACTATTTCAAATCTGTATCAGATTTCAGCTCTGTTTGTGTAAGCATTTATTTTTAATTGATTCTGTAGCTTATATTTACAAAACCAAGACAAGAACACTGAAAGTTATTTAGAAATAAATTGGCCACATTTCATCACTGCTTGCATTTTTTTTCACTTGTAACCAACTGATATATGAGTTTATAACCTGCTTTATTTTTTTACCTAAGATTCTATCAGGAAAATTTTCACAGGTTTTGAATATTCCTTGAAAATACAATTTGCAGTAGATGCTTATAATTCTGTCATATTTTTGTACCAATATTAACTTGGAGAGTCCTTAATTGTGTGCCATTTGGATTATTTTTTCTAATGTGTGAGTATTGTAAACAACATTATACAACCTTATTAATATATCATTGTGAGATTCTCTGTTTGTATAGGTAAATTTTAGAAGTTCCATTGCTTGGTCCAAGGATATTATTTCTTCTAGGTTAACTGGCACATATTACCAATGGTTACTATTGGAGTATTTGTATTTTTAACATTTGTATTTCATATTTCTTGCAAATATTTTCAAATATATTGGTTGCTTCTAAAATGAATTATTTATTTGAGACACCTAATTTTCATTTTCATGATGTCAAATCTATTGGTGTTTTCTTTGCATTCTTCCATTAACTTAGAAAGTCCTTCTCCATCTTGAGAACAGTTTTTCATGTATGATTTTGTTTTTTACACTGGACTCAGTCCCAACTTTTACATAAGACACAATGAAATAAACTAACATTCTTTAGTATAATTTCCTAATGGGTGGAGGGTTATATAATAACTCCATAGCCCACCTCTAGAGATTGTAGTTTATATTCCCTAGAATTTGCAGAAATGTTCAAATTGATAGTGGATAAGAGGAAATTATAATGCTCTCATGGTTGTCTCGAAAAATGTTTTAGACCTATTGCATCCTTGAAATTCTATGAGTTTAAATTGCCTGATTTCTCCCTCTGTCTCTGGAACATTAGTGACATACATCGACATACATCACATACTTGTATGTCTTCCTTTTTCTACACTTTGTGTGTGTGTGTGTGTGTGTGTGTGTATTCTAACATACACATATCTAAAGAATTCTATGTGTGTTTATATTTATAAAATTTCACTTAAACCTCAAAGTAGGTATTTATGATTAGAAAAAACATGCTAAAGCAACTGGAAAGGCACTTGAATAAACAGTGCTCAAAAACTATTGCTATTTTTTATCCTCCTGTGATAAATACTTAGGCGTAATAATCTATATAATTCCTTTATTCAGGTAATTTGTATGTGAAAAGGTGTCTAAACAATGTTGGAATTTGTAAGAAGACATGCAAACCTGAAGAGGTGCGTTCAGAACATGGTTGGGTAATGTGCGGCAAACATAAGGCATGCTGTGTTCCAGCTGACAAACCTTCTGCTTATCCTTCTTTCTGTGTCCGCTCAAAGACTACAAAAACTTCAACAGTAACAGCAACAGCAACAACAGCAACAACTTTGATGATGTCTAATGGTTTGATGTCTTCGATGACTACGATGGCCGCTACCCCTGTTTCTCCCACTACTTGAACATTCCAGCCTCTGTCTCCTGCTCTAGGATCCCTGACTCATTAAAGCAAAGAGGCTTATTCTGGTGTCCTTCTTCTCTCTACAGTCCCCTTCCCACTTTCCCTCCATTCAACAGTATCTGGAAGGGCACCACAATTTCATTGCACTAGCATGTCTATAGTAGAAATGCAAATAAAATAGGGCCCAGGAACAAGTGAGGGTTAGTCCAAAACACCCACTCAGGAATGATAGATAGCAGCAATGTCATCCTTGAAGACAGTTCTAGGCCCACAGCTTGCCATACCAATTATTATCAAACTTCATGTACATCAGAAACACCTGGAGATATGGCTAAAGCACAGATTTCTAGGGCTCACTTTTAGTTTCCAGTTCTGCAGGGGAGCTTGAGAATTTGCATTGCTCACAAGTTCCCAGGTGATGCTAGTGCTGCTGGTCCAGGGACCACACTGTGAGAACAATTGGCTTATAATATGAAAGGATTGAAAGCCAACTGTGGATGTGATTTCATACAGATTGAAGGCTGCATTTCCTATGTAGTTTTGGAGTAGATAGTAACACAAAATCATGCTACAGAATCCTCCTACAACAACTTGAGAATGTAGGTGTTATAACCTCACTTTAGAGAATAGGAAACTTGATTTCTAAGCATTAGAAGACTGGGACAGACTAAATTAACTACTAAGAGCATTCTGTCACTGCACCATGAGGTTGCCCAATTTTCTTCTCACCCTGGAAATCCTCATTCATAGCTTCCGACTTAAATATGATGAAAGGGAGATCAAGAGCTCTATAAAGTGTCCTGAATGTTAGGACAGGCACTCATCCCAAGCAATAGAATGTTTCCCTTACATTACATTACATTAGTGCTCTGCCTGCACCAATAAGAGAATATGACTGGGTGTATCATAGTCGTCCATCCATGCCTCAGGTCCACTTCCCTGATAGTTGGACAGGGAGAATAGGCAATGCCGATGCCTTCACTTTCTGGACACTTACAGTAGCTGTGTTTGTCTTTGTCATCTCAGTTTGCTCACTTATGAAATGATAGTGTTTTACTCAGTATCTTTCTCCCCACCCCTGTCATAGTACATCTTTCTGATTCTGAAAATATAAGATTGGCTTATGTTTTGTGGGGTCAACTTCACCTTTGACCCCATAAGATCCTAGAGATTTAGTGTAGAGATATAAAAGTTGGAGTAAACATTGGTGGAAGGGTTTTCTCCACTATAGACACAAATCCATGAGTGCCATCACAGACTCGTTTTCCTTCTTCACTTGATTCCAGTGAAGATTCATGTTCACTCTACCACCTCCAATATGTACCATGACCTCTATCTCCAACTGCTGCTAGGATCATTGCAATAGCCTTCCCATTGATTGCTCTGCATTCCTTTCACACACACACCTAACTATACTCCACAATGAGAGCCAGAATCACTTCTCTGAAACACAGATCTAACCTTTAGACTCCCCTCTGGCATCTTTGCCCATAGCATCCTAAGACAACTTTTCGGTGCCGCCTTCATCACTCTTGGTGTTCAGAACCTGCCTTGCATTTCCAGTTTTACCTCCAAAGCACTCTCACAGGGCATCTTGCTATCCCGCCACACGTACCCCTTTGTGATTGGTTTGAACTCACTGGATTGCTTCTGGTTTTGAGTTTTTGTACATACTTTTCTGTCTCCATTTCTAACTGCCTGGAAAAAAATCTTTATTTTCTTCTGGAGGACTTTGATAACCACACTGTTCTACTTACAATGGCACTACTGCCACCATTTGTGCTCCACTGTTATGACTTATCCAGAATTTTAAGTCATCACGTCACATGCCTCACTCTGAATATCTGCTTATGTCTTCTCCCCTTCTAGACTTTGAAATTTTATTTAGGAACAGGAACCATTTTATCTTCTGTTTCTTCTACCGTCCCCTAACAAGATTCTATATTAATTCTTATTGAATAAGTAAGAGGGATTCTCGAAGACCTGAAAGATCTTTGGATGTTACTGAAATCTCATTTTTATTTATTTTAGATCTTTTCCAAGAAACAGGCTTCTGTCTCCTTTAGAAGATCTATGATCTATGTCATTACATAGTAGAGGAGTTTTGAGGAGTGGCTTGTCCCAAGTGGTAGGACATCATTGCCTCTTACACCTACGCTTATCTTTGTAAGCAGAACTCATGAACTCACACAAGAAGGTCGGAAGATAGAAGCAAGTTACTTCAGCAGAAGAGAATAGTAGGAAAAAAACATAACTTTAGAGTTGGATGTATCTGAGGTCATTCATGATCCCACCATATATCCACTCTTGGACCGTAGACAAATGATTTCCCATTTTTGAGCCTATGTTGCTGAATTTGAAGAACAGAGAAAATACTTACTCTCACTCAAGGTACTTTGAGGGTTGCGAGAGTAATATATTAAAATGTCAATCATATCATAGGGATTTAGCTGTAACAGGTTGTTCCCTGGATAAGAAACAGTACAGCACATTTCCCCAGGGCCCTGCCCACTGGACCTTTGCTGTCTTGCATGAGTATGGGTGATTATAGCCTACGTTTCACCTGAGGGAAGACTCATTATTAGGCTGAGAATAGTGTAACAAAGTTGAGGGTCATGGGATTTATTTGAACAACCAGATGAGATTTTAAAGGCTTCTAGTAGAACTTTCTGTGCTTTCTTTTCAATTATCACCTTGATCACTACCTTGAAGACATCTTAGAGCTATTATCACGTTGATTCTAGACGATGAATATAATCTCAGTGCTGCAGCCTGAAACAGTGTCCTGCTTTCCTCTTGCCTTGTATCTCACCCCTCCTTCATGCTGTGCTGGAACTTAGGTGGCAAATATTCTTTTCCTGCTTTGGAGTTGACTAATGGCATTAGGAGGACAAGGGAAAAGGAATCTTTATCGTGTGAGAAACTGCGATGTGCCAAACACATTAATACACAATTTCTTAAGCAAAAGCATTGTGTGATAATTATGACAACATGATTAAAGCTGAGGAACCTGAAGTAAAATGTATCTAGGGTTACATCTAGGTTTGTTCCTTACTAATTTTACTCATCATGTGGTCTCTATATCAATTTTCTCATTTGCAAGGCAGGTATAACCATGCATCTACCTCTTAGAATTACTCTAAAAATTAAAATAGATATTGCATATAGGGCACCATGATCCCTAGCACTGATGAAGTTCTAAGAAATGTAGATTTTAAAAGGCATATAAGACACAGGTTATTCCAGTTTAAAATATGAAATGTTTAAAAAATAAAATATGGAAATTCTGAGTTTCAGGGAGAAAGAGGATCTTGCACAAGAACAACCATATTTAGAAGGCAATTTTACTTGTTCTCAAGGTCACATCTCTACCCCATCTCATGCTAATCCTGACTATATTCTCAAAGCTGACTTCTACTCATATTACATAGCTATGTCAACCATGCACGTGCATGTCTGTGTGCATTCAGACTCTAGTGTTTTTTTGTTTGTTTGTTTGTTTGTTTGTTTGTTTTGAAACTGAGTCTCGCTCTGTCTCCCAGGCTGGAGTGCAGTGGTGCGATCTCTGCTCACTGCAAGCTCTGCCGCCTCCCAGGTTCACGCCATTCTGCCTCAGCCGCCCTAGAAGCTGGGACTACAGGTGCCCGCCACCACGCCCGGCTAATTTTTTTGTATTTTTAGTAGAGACCGAGTTTCACTGTGTTCGCCAGGATGGTCTCGATCTCCTGACCTCGTGATCCGCCCGCCTTGGCCTCCCAAAGTGCTAGGATTACAAGTGTGAGCCACCGCACCTGGCCCAGACTCTAGTGTTTTGAATACATTTTTGCCTTATAAATTAAACAAGATTTAGATTTCACCAGTCACTGATACTCGATCCCAACTGGATATTCTTTCAAAAGTCTGACTTCTCTCCTGAGATGAGAGTAAGATTCCTGGGCACTTTTCGTAATACTTACCTTAACCTAGCTAAACACAATGAACACTCTTTTCTTTGAGGTGTCAGTGGAAAATAAGAGGAGAGTCTGAACTCTTACCTCCCACATAGGGCTTGCAGAGAGGTGAAGATGGCAGTCCTCCCCTCTGTTGGTAATGGAGACCTAGAAGAAAGGCTGGGCATCCAACTCCCACGCAGTCATGTGAAGCAGCCCAGAGCAACATTCCCCTTCGCTGCCTGTGCAGTGGTAGTAGAGACCTAGCTGGGATTCAGATTTCTCATCCCTCAACCAGTGGTAGCAATTGGCCTGGGGAGGAATCCCTTCCCTGCTGGTGCCATGTTGGTGAAAACTGAGGGGAGTGAACTTGCCCTTCCTTGCAATAGTATAAAAGGCCTGAGGCGGACTTCCCTTCCCAACCAGTTCATTATCATTGAAGAGCAAGGGGTGGTCTCAACTTCAATCCCCAGGGGGCCGTGGCTGGCATCAGCCCTCCTTCCAGTTAGTGAGGATAGAGGATAGGAGGGTGCAGGAAAACAGGTGTCTTTAAAACTGAATAATGTTGTTTTTACCACAATTTTAAAAACTGAATAAGAAGGCATGGCAGACCCCTGAAACTAGATAACTACACACGGAACTAGCCAGAACTAACATGCAAAATGTTTAAGAATAGAACTGCAGTGGGGAATACCACCTAGATTTTTAAAATAAAAACTTGTATATATTTAAGGTATATATGCAACATGATGCTTTGATATACATAGACATAGTAAAATTATTGCTATAATCAAATTAACATATCCATCTCTTCACATAGTTATCTTTTTTTAAGGAGACAGCACCTGAAACCCATCCTCTTAGCAAATTTCCAGTATGCAACACCATGTTATTAACTAGAGTCCCCATACTCCCCTTTAGCTCTCTAGACTTTATCCTATTCAACTTCAACTTCGTACCTTTTGACCAGCATCTTCCCATTTCCTCTATGCCCCCCTACCCCTGATAATCACTGGTCTACACTCCTCTATGTATTTGACTTTTAAAATTCCACATATAAGTGAGATCATGCTGTACTTTTTTTCTGTGTCTGTCTTATTTCACTTAGCATAATGTCCTCTGGGTTCATCCATGTTGTTTTGAACGGCAAGATCTCCTTTTTCAAGGCTGAATAACGTGCCATTGTGTATATATACAATTTATTTAATGTATTCATCTATCGATGTTGATAGACGATAATGTCTTCATCTATCAACTTAGGTTGATTTTGTATCTTGGCTATTGTGAATAATGCTGAGCACAGATATCTCTACATGGTGCTGATTTCATTTCTTTTTGGTATATACCGAGTTGAGGGATTGATGGGTCATATACCAGTTCTGTTTTTATTTTTTTGAGAAGCCTCCATACTGTTTTACATAATTGCTGTGCTAATTTACATTTCCACCAACAGTGTGCAAAAGTTCCCTTTTCTTTACATTCTCACCAATACTTGTGATCTCTTGTCTTTGTGATAATAGTCATCCTAACAAGTGTGAAGTGATTTCTCATTGTGGTTTTGATTTGCATTTCCCTGATGATTAGTGATGTTGAGCACCTTTCCATACAATTGTTAGCCACTTTTACGTCTTCTTTAGAAAGATTTCTGTTCAGGTCTTTGCCCGATTTTCAAGTGGGCTATCAGTTTTTCGCTACTGAGTTGTGTACGTTTCTTACATATTTTTAATATTAACCTTATGTGATATATGGTGGGCAAGTATTTTCCTCCCATCCCATCAACTGCCTTCTCACTCTGTTGACTGTTTCCTTTGCTGTGCGACAAACGATCTTCAATGATAATACCAAGAATATGTAATACAGAAATGATAGTCACTTCAACAGATGGTGTTGGGAAAACTGGATTTCCACAGGCAAAACAAATGAAATGGATCCTTATCTTACACCACACGCACACACACAAACTCAAAATGGATTTAAAGATTTAAATGTGAGCCTGGCAAACGTAAACCTCCTAAAATGAAACAGAAGGGAATATATTCATGACTTTGGTCTAGGCAACAGTTACTTGAATATGACCTCAAAACCACAAGCAACAAAAGCAAAAATAATATATTAGTGGGACTGTGGATACATTTGAAACAAACTACAAACTAGGAAAATCTCAGCAAAGGAATAGAAGATACAGGCTGGGCGCGATGGCTCACGCCTGTATTTCCAGCACTTTGGGAGGCTGAAGCGGGTGGATCACGAGGTCAGGAGATCGAGACCATCCTGGCTAACACGGTGAAATCCCGTCTCTACTGAAAAAAATACAAAAAATTAGCTGGGCATGGTGACAGGCACCTGTAGTCCCAACTACTTGGGAGGCTGAGGCAGGAGGATGGCGTGAACCTGGGAGGCGGAGGTTGCAGTGAGCTGAGATCGCGCCACTGCACTCCAGCCTGGGCAACAGAGCGAGACTTCATCTCAAAAAAAAAAGAAAAAGAAAAAGAAAAAATAATCAAATGGAAATTATAACTTTATAAAATGTAATCAAAGTAAAAAAGAAAAAGTCACTGTATAGGCTCAATAGTAGATGGAACATGACAGAGGAAAGATAAGACAGATCTATAGAATTACCCAACCTAAAAACAGAGAAAAATAGATTGAAAATTGTTGTGGGAAGTCAGGGACCCCGAAAGGAGGGACCAGCTGAAGCCGCCGCAGGAGAACATAAATTGTGAAGGTTTCACGGACACTTATCACTTCCTCAATCAATACCTTTGTGATTTCCTATGCCTGTCTTTACTTCAATCTCTTAATCTTGTCATCTTCTTCGTAAGCTGGGGAGGATAAATGTCACCTCAGGACCCTGTGATGATTGTGTCAGCTGCACAAATTGTTTGTAGAGCATGAGTGTTCAAACAACATGAAATCTGGGCATCTTGAAAAAAGAACATTGCTATTATAGCAATGTTCAGGGAACACCAGAGATAAGACTTCTCACCGCCAGTGAGCTGGATGGAACAGAGCCGTATTTCTCCTCTTTCAAAAGCAAATAGGAGACATGTTGCTGAATTCTTTTTCTCAGCAAGGAACATCCCTGAGAAAGAGAATGCGCCCTGAGGGTGGGTTTATAGACAGCCCCCTCAAGGCGTGCCATCTTTTATGGTCGAAGCCGAAGGGATGAAATAAGCCCAAGTCTCCTGTAGTGCTCCCAGGCTTATTAGGACAAGAAGAATTCCCGCCTAATAAATGTTGGTCAGACAGGTTGTCTGCTCTCAAATCCTGTTTCCTGATAAGATGTTATCAATAACAATGCGTGCTGAAACTTCATTAGCAATTTTAATTTCGCCCCATCCGGTGGTCCTGTGATCTCACCCTGCTTCCACTTGCTTTGTGATATTTTATTACCTTGTCATCTAATCAGTGAGTTTAAGCTATGTAAATGTATTATAACTACTGATCTATTATAAGGACTTTTTTCTGCCCTCCAGTTGTGACTTATCTATTCCTCATTTTTTTAGTTTCTGTTGGATAGAGCATGTTTTCTTCTGCTAATATGAATATTATAATTTTATTTTTATTTGTTTGTTTTATTAGAAATTTGTCCTTGCTCTCAGGACCCGTTCCTATCCTTATATTTATAATTACTAATTTAACATCCAGCTTCAGAAATACAACTTTAATATGAAGGCTTTTTGTATTTCTCCTGACTGCTCAGACTTAGGGTCTTTATTTGATGCTCCACCACCAAGTCACCTATAAGGGAAGTTTGCATTCACAGGAAGACTGTAAATAATAAAACCAATTCCTTGACTAAGACTTAAGCCATATAAAAGCTGATGGCAAAGGTAAAGAGAGGTGATCCTTGAGACCTCTGAGGTAACTGCTCTTAAATTTACATTTGCCTAAAAGATGACTTTCACTCTTTCTGGGCCCCCATTTGCCTCTAGTGATTTTAACTTCATGTCACTATCTCTCTAATTGTAAACATATTCTTGTAAAACCACTATGTGACCTGAATAATAATGGCGATCCTTGAGACCTCTGAGGTAACTGCTCTTAAATTTACATTTGCCTCTAAAAATGATTTCTTCTATGTCACTATCTCTCAGTGTAAACATATTCTTGTGTAAAACCACTATGTGACCTGAATAATGGCCATAGGGCTCATCTAAGCCAACTGGCTTCTTTATTTAATGCATCTCAGTGGTTAACAGGGTTGAAATTTTTTGAAAACTGTAATCAATGATCAAAGAATGATCTAGGTAAACATCGATTCCTTGTGGCAACATTTTAATATTTTCAAAGACAAGGTACAACTGGTAGGAAAAAAATACCCTCGTGCATCTTTTTTTTCTAATTGTGGTTAAATATACGACATAATGTTGGCCATTTTAGCCATTTTTCCTTTTATTTTTAGTTGACACATAATGGTACATATTTGTAGGATACAAAGTGATATATAATATTTCAATACATGTATACAATGTGTAATGATCAAACCAGGGTAATTAGCATATCTGTCACCTCAAACATTTATCTTTTGTATTGGGAACATTCAAAATCCTCTCTTCTAGCCTTTAAAAGTGTACAATAAATTGTAGTTAACCATATTCACCTTACAGTGCTGCAACACCAGAAGTCATTCCTCCTATCTAGCTATAATTTTGCATCCATTAGCCAATCTCATTCCATCCTCCCCTCTCCCTAATCATTACCAGCCTCTAATATTAATATCTGCCACCCTACTCTCTACTTCCGTGTGCTCAACTTTTTTAGCTCCCATATATAAATAGAAACATGTGGTGATCTTTCTGTGCCTGACATTTCATGTAACATAATGTCCTCCAGGCTATATCCATGTTTTTGCAAAGGACAGAATTTCATTATTTTTATGGGTGAATAGTATTCCATCGTATATGTATATTCCATTGTGTGTATATATATGTATAGTATTCCATTGTGTGCATATATATGTATATATGTATGTGTGTGTGTATATATATATACACATAATATATATTCTTCTGCATATGGAAATCCAGTTTCTTCAGCATGATTTATTGAAGAGGGTATACTTTCCCCAGTGTATGCTCTTGGTGTTTTTATAAAAAGTCAGGTGACCTCAGATCAGACCCAACTACATCATACCTCCTTTCCAAATGTGCAAGAAACCTACTAGAAATTCTTATTGTTGGAGTTTCAGATTTATGTCATGGTTTATATTGCCATATTCACTTTTGGAGGTGAGTACATTTTGATCTTGGTCCAGCTGCACAGAGAGTCAAAGTAGGAAAAGCACAGATTCTTCCCACCAGTCTACAGCCTACAGAGTGGCATTCAGTGCAATGGGATGGAACATGCTGTGTCTCTATTCCATGTGGGGGTAAAGTGGGTGACCTCAAATTTCCTGTGTCTGCCTACATGATGCAAAGTTCACAGTTCAGAAGTTTAGGGACACACTTCATATCATCCCATCTGTTCTGGTTCAGTGCATAAGAATCCAAGTCTCTAAGGAAGGTAGCATAGTGTGCAGTTCACTGGACCAAAAGCTTTGGCTGCACCTCTTCTAGAAAGCCTGGCCATGGGGCTCTTCCTGATCATTGTAATTCTTGTAATTCTGCTGTCCCAGAAACCCACAGGTAAACCAAACCAGAGGCTCACTCGAATCTACAGTGGGATGGAGTATTTTCAAGAGCCTAAAGGGAACTTCATAATCCACACTAAAGGGAAATAGAGCCCTCAAAGTTGGCTAAAGTTTATCCAACATCATCAGAAATTTCCTCTTTCTGGAGCCTTATTCCATGGTACTAGCCTTAAAAAGGAATACTCACAGAGCTAGAAAGAGGTCATAATTGCTTCTGGGAAAGATGTGTTGTTATAGAAAGGAATGATCCCAATATCTAGGGATACCTTTATGTCTTTGGATGTGGTTTTTACTCTGATGCTCAGCTGTATTTCCTTTTACTCAAATATATATGTGTGTGTGTGTGTGTGTGTGTGTGTGTGCATTCTCTATTATACTGCAGTGTGTGAATAGAGGAAGAAGCAAATTTTGGAATTAGGTTTAAGAAACATGTCTTCAATATCTACTAGTTTGTCAACTTTGAGTAAGTAGTGAAGACTGTAGGAACCTCAGTTTCCTCATTTATGGAGATAATGACACCTGGTTAACAGGGGTTTTATTAAATGATATAACCCATGTGAAACTTGGCACATATTAAGAACTTAAAAATTAGAGTTTCCTTTCCTCTTTCAAAACCAGATCTCTTACATGTGTCCCTTATTATAAGAAGAGCAATGGCCTATTCCTGGCCCTCTACATTCCTAAGACCCAATAGTTCACTACCTTACTGGATAACATGAAAGTCATTCTTGACCCTGATAGTGGGTTTGAACTCAGGAGAATAGTTTGACTCAGACATAAACACATAGTAACAATATGTTGTTCTCTGGGCATCAGAGGGGATACAGTAGTAAGTAGTGCCCTGGGAGCATTCAGGATGGAGGCAGATTTGCTGAGGTTCCTATGTAGAGCATAGTTCTATAGCCTAGAATCAAGGGTTCAGCTCCTTTATTTTCTCAGACAAGATCTTATGTTCTTGGCGGAGTCTATCAGATGTTAAAGGGAGGCCTAAAACCTCACAGGACCTAAATACAAGTGATCCAGTTAAATACAAACACTGAGGTTGACCTTGTTGGAAAATCCTCTTTGGAATATATGAGGGTCTGCCTTGTGGATACCCCATACCCCTAATTCCTACAAACCTCCTCTATCTTCCCCAAAATCAACGTGCCTTCAGTCTCAAACACTGATATTGTCCTATTGCTCCTTTCTGTGTATAGTAACTGAACAACTTAAGACGTGCTGGAATAACTATGTACAAGGACATTGCAGGAAAATCTGCAGAGTAAATGCACTATGTGAAAATGGGAGATATTGTTGCCTCAATATCAAGGAACTGGAAGCATGTAAAAAAATTACAAACTCACCTCATCCAAAACCAGCAACACTAGCACTGACTCTTCCTCAAGACTATGTTACAATAACAGAAAAATTCCCAATCTTGAAGACATAAATCAAATACAATTTCCTGTTCACTTGCTTCTCAACCTAGTCTAATAAACTAAGGTGATGAGATCTACATCTTCTTCCTTCTGCTTTCTTTATCCTTAAAATGACCTTCGAGCATATTCTAATAAAGTGCATTGCCAGTTTTCTGTCTCATTTTGTTCTTTAACCAGGGATTGAACACTCGTTATATACTAGGTAAAGAATTGGTAAGAACTCAGAACCTCTCCTTGAAAAGGGGATATGACAAGTGCACTAAAAAAAATCCTATAGTCTGCAAGTCTGGAATAAGAAACTCAGAAACACTGACATGTAATTTAGGAGAGGGAAAGGTGAAGCAAATATTCAGGGGAAATACATGAGTACGTTTAGGAAGAAAGCAGTGTCTTGTAATAATAAGTAGGATTTCAATGGATTAGGTTTGGTAGGAAAGGCAATTTGAGTGAACAGAATGGCATCAACTAATGGAAGGAAACTGGAAAAGACAGAACATTTCAGGAAACTATACATGCACTTTGTTTGGATGAAGAACAGAGCACTCAAATTTGAACGATGGGGGAAGCCTGATTTCCTAAGCTACTGTGTACCAGCAGTGAACTGGGAAGATAGAGATAAATAAAATTCCACTGTCGTGGAGCTCAGCAGTGGAGCTCACCACTTCCTGATAAAGTGGAGGAAGACCTAAGTAAATAACTCCAACACAAACGTTTTTTGGTTTTTCCTTTGTTGTTGTTGTTAATGTGTTCATCTTTTTTGTTATTGGGGCCGTTTGGAGTTTAGGGGAAATGTAAAAGATCTAGGAATTGGTCCAAATTGTAGTGCTTTTGTTGTCTTGATATGCAAGAAGAATAATCCATGTACATACGCTGCTGAATTCTTAAAGATGTACCTTCTGAATACCATTAACATGGAAAGTTTCTTCTTCAACTACATTTCACAGTCATTTTCTAGTTTTGTTTCTTATATCGTTTCACCATAACAATTACAAGCATTTTAAAGATTTAGTTCATCCACTGTAACATTTACCACTAATGTGTGGCATGTGTTCTCTTAATATCTCTCTTTCTGGTGTTCTAGGGCTGGGATAGGGAGTATGTAAGACAAGCCTAGAATATCTCGTGGTGCCAGAAAGTAAGCAATTGCTTAAAAATCAAAGGATAGGGTCATATTAAAGGGACACAGGAGTCAGTCAAAAAGAGCTTCAAATGACCAAAGCTGCAACAATTTGAGCAATAAACTAAATAAGATAGCATTAGATTATAATACAACATATAATAAATATCTATGAGTCTATGATGATATGAATAAATAATTGAATAAATTAGCAAATTGGTGAGAACAGATGTGCCATACAGAATAATTCCCAATAATTCATGGAGATAGTCCCTGCTTAAGGAGGTGGAGCTTGATCTCCCTCTCCCTTGAGCATAGGCTGTGTTTAGTGACTTGTTTCCAAAGAGAAGTGTGCGGAAAGGAGTTAAAAAATAATTTCACATGGATAAACCTGATAAGGTCATGTTTCAGATTTTATGGAGAAATCATGTTTATAGCACAAACCTGTGATATGATATGATGAGAATGGCACTTTACTTCTGTTTTCTTCCTCCCAAAACCCTGCAACCCAAGACAAACAATGAAAAACATCAGAGAAACTCAAATTCAGTGGCATTCTAAACAATATTTGACGAGTATTTCTCAAAACTGTCAAATTTATCAAAAAGGAAGAAATTCTGAGCCACAGTCAAAGATCAGAGAAGGCTAAAGAGACAGGACAACTGAAGGTAATGTGGTATCCTGGATGGACTCTTGGAACAGGAAAAGAACATTAAGGAAAAACTAGTGGTGATAATAGTAATAATAATAAGTGTAGAGTCATTTAATAGCAATGTATTTAGCTGTGATGGATGCATTGTGGTAATATAAGATGTTAACAATAGCAGAAACTGGGTGAATATTTAGGCGCTCTCTATATTATCTTTGCAACATTTCTATAAATCTAAAACTATTCTAAAACTGAAAATGTATTTAAATTTTGGAAAACTAACCACAAAATCAATTTGGCACATTCCTTTTCTTCTTATTTACGAAAGAGCTTCTCAGTTCTACATTGAATGTTTGGTAGAATCTAATGGTAAAGTCAACTGGAACGGAACTCTTTACAGGAAGTATTGTTAGAGATTAAGTTTATTGCAGGTTAAAAGGCAATTCAGTTTTCTATGTCTTCTAGTCAACTGTTGTATTTTGGCATGTATACTTTTCCCATTTTCTAAGATTTTTATGCTTGCTATCCTAAAATACTTTATAATGTCTTCTTTTTCTTATTAATGCCTGTAAGATATGTAATGACATCTTTTTCATTTCTGACATCTATTATTTGTGTATTTTCTCTTTTTTCTTGATAAGTCTCACATTCACTTATTAATCTGATTTATCTTTACAGAAAACAAATCTTCTTCATTAATTTTAGTTTAGTTTCCATTTCTTAGACTGCAACTTGCATTGCCCAATTAGAAGTGATTGAAAGTGACAGGTTCACTTCCAAGTGGAAACTTAAGAGCCAGTGTGTCCATGTGCAGTGGCTCACACCTGTAATCTCAGCACTTTGCAATGCCGAGGCAGGCAGATCCCCTGACGTCAGGAGTTTGAGCCCAGCCTGGCCATGGTGGTGAAACCCTGTCACTACTAAAAAGACAAAAATGAGCCAGGCATGGTGGCGGGCGCCTATAATCCCAGCTACTTGGGAGGCTGAGGCAGGAAAATCACTTGAGCCCAGAAGGCGGAGGTTGCAATGAGCCGAGATTGTGCCTCTGCACTCCAGCCTAGGTGACAGAGTGAGACTCTGTCTCAAAAAAAAAAAAAAAAGCCAGTGTGTAGTTTAACCATCTCTTATCTCTCTGCCAAGGTGATTGTGGAAGCACTGTTGACATACAGCCTCTGTCAGCCTGAAGCCCTGAGTGACCATGAGAACAGGGTCATTCTTTTGACCTAAAATAGACATCTAGCACTGCCAGAAATAACCTTTTGGGAAGTTAATCTATGAGAATTGAGGTTTGTGTTTTATTTTGTTTTATATGTATATTTTTTTAAATCAGGAATAACTTAGACCAGGGTGAACAAACTACTGCTGTCAGGTCAAATCCAGCTCATAGCCTGCTTTTTAAAATAAATTTGTATTAGAACACACACACACACACAGACACACACACAGATATCTTCACTAATGTTCTTTTTTTCTTGTTTTTCAAAAAATTTGCATACCATAAAATTCACCTGTTTTAAGTGCACAATTTAGTGTCATATTTCTATTTTTTATTTTTGGTATACTTTTCTTTTTTGTAACTTTGTTAGGCACATGTTTATCTTTATAAAAGAAAAGCCTTCCTTCTTTTATGTTCCTCTCTATATACAGATTGAGCACCACCCCACAAATTTTCATTATAGAGTATGTTCATTGTTATATTATAAACCTTCTCATTTCTCTTAAACATGAGCCTATAAATAACATAGAGATTATATAAAGACTATGGATATAAATGTTAATCATGCAATTTTCTCAACTAATTATAGTTACATATACAGTAACATTACTTTGGTGATATGTAAACCGAAATGTAAACAACAAAACTTGAAAGCAAACAGAAAACATCATATGCAAAAACTTGTACACACTTGTTTTTCATACAGTTTGTTTTCAAATATGATCTTCTATCTTGCCATAGGCTTTTTTATGGCTTTAAACAGATATTTATTTTTCATTTATATTGTCCTCTGTTATGATTCTTCCAGTCCTGAACTTCCTGCATCAGTAATTTTTAAAGATATTGTTGGTTTACAGAAGTTTACCAATTATTACCATAATTTATCATCAATTTATTATCAACTCTCACCATCATTTCAAAAGTGAAAGAAATTTCACCACCTAAAAATATGTATGTATGCCATATTAGAAGAAAACAGACTTTTAACTAAATGCATTCCTGTCTCTTAAAATTTTGTTCTACCATTCTAATTTTTTTCATTTTGTTACAGACCAGTGTAAACTTTGCCAGAACCCCATTAAGGCCCATGTATCCATTTAACAACAAAATTCTGTAATTTTTAAATTCTCAAACTCATAATTTATATGACCACTGCTACCCAATTGGTAGTAGTCTTCTGAGGAATGTTTCCATTCCGTTATTTCTTGTCTTTTCTAATCACTCTCTGAATCTAAATTTCTCCTTAGTTTTTTTCCCTAGAATTAGATGTTGAAGGTGTTTGCTTACTTGTCTTCTTTATTATAATAAATAATGTGTATCCCATCCCTAATGATGAGCACTTTGTCAATTTTTATATATTTATGACAGGTGGACTCACTCTTATTCTAAACTCAGATATTAGTGATATCCAATGCCCCATTTGGAGACCATTACATTAAAAATGCACTTACTAGTTCTGGGACTTCCTAGACAATTTCCTTCATCTTTAAAAATCTGGGACCAACACCACAAGCTTTGTCCCAAATGAAAGTTCTCTGCCCAAGTAATGAAGCATCTAAAAATGCTAGGAAAGATATTAGGTTTTAAAATAACACACCAATAATTACATTTAATATAAATGATCTAAATCAGGGGTCCCCCCACCCCAGGCCATGGACTGGTATAGGTTTGTGGCTTGTTAGGAACTGGGCCACACAGCAGGAGGTGAGCGGCAGTGGGAGCGAGCATTACCACCTGAGCTCTGCCTCCTGTCAGATCAGCTGCGGCATTAGATCCTCATAGGAGCTTGAACCTTATTGTGAACTGCGCATGCAAGGGATCTAGGTTGTGTACTCCTTATGAGAATCCAATGCCTGATGATCCAAAGTGGAACAGTTTCATCCCGAAACCATCTTCCCACCCCTGCCAGTTTATGGAAAACTTGACTGCATTAAACTGGTCCCTGCTGCCAAAAAGGCTAGGGACCACTGATCTAAATACACCAATTAAAAGAGATTGTAAGATTGGATTTTAAAAGACCTGACTATATACTGACCAAAAAAAAAAAACCCTCACTTTATTTTTTATTGCATATATTTGTGGTGTACAACATGACATTTTGATATACATTGTGAAATGGTCACTCTAGTCAGGCAAATTAACACATTCATCATCTAACATAGTTTCCC